ACGCTAGGTCAGTGAAGATCTAAATTCAGATTTAGCAATCCGAGCCCGAATTGAATTGATCAGGGCAAATTTTTTGAAAATGCGAAGCCTTTTATGCGATAGGTCAGTATTCATAGGCAAATAAGATATATGATTTTGTGAAGTGCTACTTGTATTACACACTGTTATATGGAGTTAAAGCGTATTAGCTAATAGTTGCCAGTTTGAACATACTAAAAGCATTTTAAATCTGGGTATATAGACGAATGCTATGAATACCTTGGACTTCCTACACCATCAACTTGGAAGTGTTCCACCGAATGAGCAGAGAACGTGAGGTCATTGAAATCTTTTACATTAATTTTCTATAGCTCGCAATCGAGGGTAAAATTGAAGGAAAATGTGAACAAGATAAGAGATTGGAGAGGCTTGGGCTCGAACAATTTGCTGGGAAAGGACCAAATTAGAGAAGAATTTGCCAAAAACGGTTGCCGATCTTCGATAGGAGATGTAACTCGAAGAAGAAACAGAGTAATATTAGTTAATTTCCAAACAGCCATTATAAGGTTGTGATACGCCTTCTGAGGGATCGAATGAGTCGACATTTTCATGTAATACTGCGTTTTATTTGGAAATCCAAAACCAGTATCCCATTTTAATTTTTAAATACCTTTTATTATGAAATTACCTGTACACCATCTACACAGCCGATACGCCAACAGAACTAGAATCTCTGTTAAGTCTTTACGCTGACGACACAACAATAGCTGGAGAAACTCAGATCATGCAGCTAATCATCTGCAGAGAGCACTGAATAGATTCCAAAGATGGTGCAAAAATGGAAAATCGCCTTAAATCCCGACAAAACACAAACTGTAATGTTTAGTCCTAGAAAAAGTGTACCAAATCGAGAAACTATGATTGAAAACACCCCAGTAGAATGGACAAACCAGGCAAAATACCTCGGGTGTTCCTCGACAAAAAACTCACGCTTACAGATCACATCAACCAAACGACGTACAAAGCCAAAGCGTTCAAAAGTCAGCTCTCTACGCTCATAGGCAGAAATAAATAACTTTGAGTTTGCATTAGAACGAGGGATTTAACTTAAACGTAACTCACAAATAAACAAGTATAAAAGGCCCGTCAGGCCTTCTATATACTTCAAAAGCGGACTAGGCCCCTCAGGCAGATCAAGTGAAAATGATCTATTCGCAAAATCCGAGCACTGAGATCTTGTGCGGCATACATGGGCTTTTGCCAAATTGGCGGCTGAGTGGCTGGACACACACTCTTTTCCGGACAAAGATTCGTTAGCTCAGGCTGGCGGCTCTGTTCGGAACAATCGAAACACACCCTTTTTTCTTTTCTTTTTTAGGGACTCAAGTCCCGAAGTTATGGTAGAGTAACTTCTATAGAGTCAGTAAAGTAAATAGGGAGAAAAGCCGATATGTGTGCTAACCCTACAATTAGGTGGCCTAAGCACAGTCATTAAAAACAGAGGGTGTCCCACTACTCAGAGCACCTTAAGTAACTTTCAGATTATATGCCTCCTCATGTAAGTCACAAGATGAGGAGAGGTGGAGGAAAAGCCTGGGGGTCAGATAGGTACCACTTCAATAGCGAAGTGTGACCGGTTTGTTCTTCGGACATGTGGATCCCACTTTACAATGGTATACACATGTTCCTAGGGGCAGGGTTGATCACTGCGTGTGTGTGTATGTGTGTGTACCTTTTATTATGATTATATAAAAAGTCCAGAAGATGCAACATTGTAAATTATACTTAAAAACTAAGATAAAATCGATCTCCAATATTTTTTTTATTTTTAAGTGTATGGTAAATAAAACAGTTTCTAATAACACTACATTTACAACTCATTAAGCTTTTTGACACTATTAACAATCTAAAAGAACTAACCCAACCTTTTAAAAAGAGAAAGTTAATTATATTAGGCATAGATCCACATCCAAAGTGTGCCGCTAAAAATCTAGACAGCGAAAAATATATTGATATCATCTTGAAGTAATGAAGGAATGTTACAATAAAAACAAACAAATTAATAATGTATATAAGATTATTCAAAATGTTGTCGTAATAGACTAGATTTTATCAGAGAAAATTATTATACTCAAATCAAACTTTCAAGTATTTACAATAATAAATATTTATCAGTAATTAATATATCCATTTATTAAGATATTACTTAATAAACTCAGCACATACCAAATTTTAGGTATAGAACAAAAATTTTAAATTTGATTTTCGCGCCGTTCAATTAGTTCCGTTTCAATTTGTAGATGGTGCTGAATTGGTGTCACGGCAATTATAGTTTCATGAACTATCTATTTTTTACTACCTGTAACTACTACATAATGTATAGGGAAATGGTAGTGTTTTGTGGTTTGAATATTTCCTCCTTTCATCTGCATATTAAGACGCGAATTTTATGCGCAACTGGCAAAAGTACCTACGTGTTCGGCATTAATGTACGATATAGTATTACGTATTTCATGTTGCTATTTCAAGTATACGAGTAAGGAGAGTCGGACAATTAAATTCCTTCACTACCAGTGTTAATTTAACAAAATCAAACAAAATTACTGCTAATATATTTTAAAATTGTATATATTATATCAGAGTCTAGAGGCACGGAAGAGGATAACATTTATTAAATAAAAATTCCTAATTTGTTAGTCATGAATAATAAAACTGTTGCCGAAACTAACGCTCCAACGTTTATTAAATTGTAAATAATGATTATTGGCGAAAGTACAAACAAAATTTTATAAAACGAAAATGCGTTCACAAACAACTTATACACAAAGATTGGTGGTACTGAAGTATTCAAAATGTTTACTTGGATTTGATTAATTGTTCGTTAAACATAAAAGAGCTTGTGCCTCATATATGCTTTCTAAATATAAATTTATAAGAGATTATGAATGTCACACCCAAATAATCGAACTAATCTATAGACTAATGTCTAAATAGTTAAAATCAACAGACTTTCCACGATAATAAATCAAAATTTTACCGAAGTACTTTGAATAAGATAAGAACAACTGGCACTGTATAATGTATAGTTAAAGGAATAGTCGATAAGTGGAAAGTTCCACAAATTTTGAAAAATATTACGAGCAATCAAAGACGCCAAACTATGGGAAACAATCATCAAAAAAGAATTTTACTTTCATTGTCTTGCTTTTAACCTTAATGTCAATTTACCTTAACTTACATTATTTGTGGTCGAGATGTTGGTAAAATACGGGACAAAAAGTAACAAAATAAAAAAACCGGCGAAGAACTCAAAAAATATACAGTTAGAACTAATAGAAAATATTACAGCTAAGTTTCCGTTTAGAAAAAAGGCAAACGACTGTTTCTTAAGGTGGTAGGCATGAAACTGCAATAAAACATCAGAATTCTCATGTTTTTACAGATTTTGAAATTTACTCAAGGTACAAAGTAGCCTTGCTAAAAAAGGATACCCTCTCATCAAAAACCTATGGTTAAAAATAAAAATTACTAGTCATTAAACCAATTTACAATAAGTTAATAGAGATAAAAATGAAAGTAATTCCTCCACTTATCATTTTACTACATTGACAAAATTTACGAAAAACGATTGTTTACTTTTTAAAATGATTTCTATGTTGATCTTTTATTATTTGTTCAAGTGTGTGACCCACAATGATAACATTGCATTAGGTCAACAATTTCCTTTCATAAATTCGTATTGAAACATCTTTAACAAATAAAACAAGTCATGTAGAATAATATAATGGTTAAGTATCAATCCCTTACATTTGCCAACTTACAAGCAATAAGGTGAAATGGCAACATTACAAGATTCCAGTAAAATAAAAAGTATTGTTTTAAATTTAAAAATCGTTTATATTAATAGGTATATGAAACCAAAAAAAGGCAGACTAAGTTTTCTTCGAATCAGATTTTTAGTTGACAAAACAAAATTATTCTCATGATGATTGTCGATTTTTAGCAAAAATTATTAGATATCTACATATGTATTAAACTAAAATGATTTAAATTGTGTTTTTAAATAAAAAATATAATAAAAAAATCAGATGTATGGTGAGAAGTCGTCAACAAATTGAAAAAATTTCACACTCTCTTTAAAAAGAAGAATTTTATATAAAGAAATAAGCTTATATAAATTTACACAGAACAAATTATAGAAAAGACATGTGACCAAAAATCAAAACCATGACAGCTTTCTGGTTAAATCAATGAACTAGTTAATTGAATCTCAAAAAATGAAGTTATAACCTTGACAGCTAGCTATGAAGCCTATGCCGTCCCTGACAACACCTTCCTAACCTATAAGCTACAAGTGAAAGGAACAAGATTCTATTAGACACAAAATTAAATTGTTTTTAAAATTTTCAATAAAATTTGTGTATATATATATAATATATATATATATATATAAATATATAGTATATATATATATATACACTAATTATTTTTACAGAGGTTGTGTGTTCTAAATAATGAAATTGAAATTAGAGTAACAGTGATATAAAATATTGTGGTATAAAATCACTGGTGTAATTTGTATTATCTTAAAATTTTTGATGATTTTTTAAAGTTATTAGTGTGTCTTAAGTTTAAATATTTTGTATTTTGTGATAAAATCATTGCGTGACAAAAGTATTATACGTTTATATCTAATTTTAGCTTTTCTTTATAAGAAAAAATCAATAAAACCTTGTCGTATTTCACATAAACCGATAACATAACCTATAACCTTATTTTTTAAACGAACAATTCAGTGAAAACTTTTTAAAAACAGTCTCGAAAGAACACCATTGTACACATATGAATCCTAATATTCACTCAGGTAATAACACAAACCGGTTGGTTGATGTCGTAAACTTCACCCCGACGGCCCGACTGGCCCGACCGGGCCGACGTAAAACCAAACACAAACGACTGTTAACGAATAACGAATAAATAAATATACTGTTTAATAAAAATATAAATTGAAAATTACTCACCTGATAACACTGTAAAGTACAAAAACAAAGTATCAGGCTTTTTGGGAGCCTCATCCTGAACAGTCATCCCGACGGCGGCCTCATTCTTACTATTAATGTTATTAATTTCTTCCTCTTGATTCATATCGTCTAGATTTGACGTAGAAGCGCAACTGAATAATTTAGTGGGCCTACATTTTTTTTAACCAGCTATTACACTAGTTAAATCCAAAATAAACTGTTGACATTGTGTGTTTGTCTGGTACAATCAAACTTGATAAAAAACCCAAAGAATTATCTACTGAAAGTGTAAGTTTTACACAGAGCATTATCGCATTTGTTTTTTATATATATACAGGTTTTGTACGAGTTAATTTATGATTTTTTTATAACATAGAAAGTTTGCTCCTTTATCATTAAGGCTGTTATGTTGTGATCTATAAATATGACAGTGTAGGAGAATTCGTTGACCCGGAAACATCACCATTGCAAAAGCACACTACAATCTGATGAAAAATTGTGTTACGAGATTATTTATTTGCTTTACAAGGACAGTTTTCTATTTTTAGTTGCTTGTATAGATACCACATGTCAATTTTAAAATGACTCATTTAAATACCCGCTAGTAAATATATTAGGTAAGTTTTGAAGAAAAAAGTGGTATTTCAATATTAGGGGAGATCGGTGGCACTTTTATTGGGTCATTTTGCTTATATACGTTGGCAAACGAAAGTAAGAAGCAAAGCGATTTAAGTAAGCCGTGGAACATTTAAAGTAAAAGTATAAGTGAAAGTAAAAGCCTCAGACCTCCCACCATTAAGCAGGTTTTATACATGATACTGGGGGTACGAAAAAGTAGAGGAATAAATTTGTGTTAGAAATATATTACTGCGATTGTGAACGTTTGTGTACTGCGTACTTAGTGATCACTTCGAACAATAGTGACTATGAGAAAGCGCTGTAATAAATCATACTAAATGACTGCCACATCTGTATCTACGAAACGTGAATTTTACCTGTGCTATTCATCTGAATCTTGTATTTTCTGGAGTATTTACTTAATTGCGCTAAAGATATACCTATGATCTACATATTTGGTCATTAGTTTAGTAACCTATGTTCCTCAATCTGCAGTTCCTCAATCTTCTTCAAATTTTGAGACGGCTGCTCTGAAAAGTTCATTTGATGTACATCATCTGTACCACTCTCTCAGGTTGCACACACATGACATTCTACGCCTCCCTATGCTTCTCTTTCCTTAGATCTTTCCCTGCATAATCAGTTGGAACAAGGTGTATTTCTCTCCACGTGTAATATGTCCGGGATATTCCAGTTTTCTTGTTTTAATTGTATTTAAAAGTGAAACTGGAACAAACCATGAAGTGGAGAAATCCAGGAGTGGCTAGTATACCTGTTGAATACATTGTTCCCAGATATGCATATTTGTCCACTTGTTCGACGTTGGGTCCGTTTATTAGAAGATTCTCGTTATTTCTTTGAGTTTTCGATATTCCCATAAATTTCGTCTTCTTAACGTTCATTGTTAGACCGTACTGTTTTCCATACTCCGCTATTCTAGCCACCAGTCTCTGAAGATCTTCAATATTTTCGGCTAAGATCACAGTGTTGTCTGCATATCTAATGTTGTTATTGGGAACTACATTTACCTTTATTCCGGCTGTTTCACCCTCAAGAGCTTTTTTCAGGATCTCTTCGGAGTAGGCATTAAAAGGAATTGGCGACAATCCGCATCTCTGTCTAACTCCACGTGTAATTTCAATTTCTTTTGACAGCTTTTCGTTAACATGTACTTTTGCTCGCTGTTTATAGTATAACTTTGGTATGATCATGAGGTCATCGTAGTCAATCTTCTTTGATTTCAGGACATTTATTAATTGTTCATGTCGTACTTTATCGAATGCTTTATTATAGACAATAAAACATGCGTATATATCTTGATTGACGTCCTTGTCATCTTTATATCAGTATATTAAGTGAAAAAAGGGCTTCACGAGTTTCTAGGCCTTTGCGAAAACCAAATTGTGTATCATTTACGTCTATGTCCAGTTTGTGATATATACGCTTATGGATGACTTTTAGTAGTAACTCTAGCACATGAGACGTTAAGCTAATGGTGCGGTTATCGCTGCATTCTCTTGGGTTTTTTCTTTTAGGGAGACAAATAAAAATCGACATTAACCACTCTTTGGGTACTGAACTATAACAATGGACTATCTGAGGAAAATGGAGCGAAATATCAATGATGACATAGAAAGAAAACAATTAATCTGGTTCGGACATGTTAAAAGAATGCCAGAGTACAGATGGCCTAAAAGAGTACTGGAATGGATCCCTCCAGAAAGAAGAAAGAGAGGACGACCACGGCGAAGTTGGCGCACCGATATTGATGAAGCAATGGCGGCAAGAGCCTTAGAAGAGGCAACTGCATATGGTAGAAAAAGTAGGAAATTGGGGGCGGAGAAGCGGTCACTAATTCTCTAGAACATGTAGGATTTCTATAGGAAGCATTCCAGGTCCAGGGCTTTTCCCACTTTCCAATTTCTACTTTTGTAATATATGGACCTATTTCTTATGACGTAAGCTGTATGTGCTCCAGATCTCCCCTCTCATCATCGAACAGTTATTTGATATATTCTGCCCATCTTTGTACTTTCTCGTTTGTCTATGTCTACGTTATAGTAGTTCCATGTCTATTCAGAAGTGCACCAGTGGGTTTTTGTTTTCTTAGTCCTACCAGTTCTTTAACTTGTGTAGGTTAAAGAGATCATCTTTATTTTGAAGGTCTTCGATCTCTTTGCATTTCTCTTCAAAATATTTTTCTTTTGCCTACTTTATCATCTTCCTGATCTCGTGGTTTATCTCTCTGTATTTATTGTTGTCTTTTTTAAATTGTCTCTGTTGTTCCATCAGATTGAGTATCTCGTCATTGATCCATTCTTTTTTTCTCCTTTTGCGGAAGTCTCTCTTGGCTCAAATCAACATTTATTACATTACCAAAAAAACCTAATGCAATGGAATGTAGTGACCATCGTTTAATTAGTCTAATGAGTCACACACTAAGAAAATTCTTAAAAATTATCTATTTAAGAATTTTCAGAAAAGTGGAACAAGACATCACTATTATCCAATTTGGATTTAGGAATGGCATGGATTCACGAGAGGCATTATTTGGATTTAACGTCCTCATGCAAAGATGTATGGATGTAAAACCAACCACTCTGTTTTATTGATTACAATAAGGCGTTCGATAAGGTCCGACACAACCGTCTTATACAATTACTTAAAGATGAACACATTGACAAGAAAGACTTAAGAATAATAACTCATCTCTACTTTAACCAAACAGCAAAAGTCAGAGTAGGCAGAACTTTCGGAGGAAGTAGAGATAAAAAGAGGCGTAAGGCAAGGTTATTGTTCAATCTATATTCGGAAGAAATGATTAAAAAATCACTCGAAAATGTACAAATTGGAATCAAAGTCAACGGCAGACCCATCAACAATATCAGATATGCCGATGATACTATACTTATTGCAGAGAATATACAAGGTCTACAGACACTCTTAGATAATGTAGTAAATGCTAGTGAGAAAGCGGACTAACGCTTAATGCTAATAAAACAAAATTTATGACAATTTCCAAAACACAACAACAAAAAATTTTAAACATAAGAGGGGTTCCAATAGAAAAAAGTAAAAAAAATACAGATATCTTGGTACAATTATTATTGAAAATAACGAGTATACAAAAGAAATAAAAATGAGAATTGGACAAGCTAGAGCAACATTTAATAAGATGAGAAAAGCATTATGCAATAGAAACCTTAGTTTGCAACTTAAAATAAGAATGTTTTGTTTTCGGTGCTGCTGTTTGGAGTGGAGGCCTGGAGGTGAGCGATCGACTTGAAGCGTTCGAGATGTAGAACGTACCGAAGAATATTAAAAATAAGTTGGGTAGACCGAATAACAAATGTTGAGGTCCTCAGAAAGATGAGAAAGGAAATTGAAATCATGAATACGATTAAGATAAGAAAGGTACAATATCTCGGTCACTTTTAACACATTTTTTGTAGACCCTGATTTCTTACCTTCAGGTCTTTTTGAATAATTTACCATTCTCTTAGGGGTGGCGTTTTGAAAAGTTTGAATAATTTTCGGAGCTGTATTACTCTTAGGTTTAAGTGATATTTTGACCTCTTCCTCATTTTCTGGAATAATTGAATTGTTTATGTCATAATCAGATTTTATCGCATCTAGATGACTCATAATCGTTCGGAAAGATTGTTCAATGTGATGAAAGGACTTTCTTAAATGATTTCCAGTCGTTTCTTTCTTTTTACGGTCAAACAGTGGCCTGTTGCTAAACTTCTGAACAATCATTCTTCTATTAACGTTGTTCATAGTCCAAAATACTTTTTATAAATCTAATTACTTTATTGGGTAATTTAAATAATACATAAATTGAGTATATAATATATAATTGGTCACGTTATGAGAGGGGATAAATATGTGCTGCTACAAACCATAATGCAGGGAAAAATACAGGGAAAAACGAAGTATTGGAAGAAGTCGCATCTACTGGCTCAACAATCTGAGAAAGTGGTATAATTGCAGTTCCATCGACTTGTCCAGAGCTGCAATCTCAAAAGTAAAAATAGCCGTGATGATTACCAACCTCTTTACAGGAGACGGTACCTAAAGAAGAGAAGACTAGTTATGCTTGAGACTTATTAACCAAATATGTATATTCGCTTTATTTAGCCCTATCAGCTTGTGAGAACCAGTGTTCAGTCAACCTGATATTAAAGTACTACCTCTTTAAACCCACTAACTCCCTTTACTGATTGTATTGTATCGTATTAATTATGATAATGTATATTCATCTTAGTCTTATCTATATATCATTTTTGATGAGTGATTTACAAAAGATTTTAAGATGGCTATCTATAACCCCAACAAAACATGTTTATTGCAATTGTACTTTTTTCTACAATCAATATGCAATTGTTACTGGCTAATTTACATAAAATAAAGTGGTTTCCTTGAAGAACCCTACTAGAATATAATAAAACACCTGTAATATAGACACCTGAACATAGTGTCATGAACATTACATTTGTGCGCTACAAAGAAGTATTGGGCAATTTAAAAATGTTTAAATTATACGTTTAAGGGTAGTGTATAAACATAAATATTGAACTATTACCTAATAATTTGTGTTTTTTTTTGCTAACGAATAAACCTAATTAAAATCTTTATAATTATTTGTGTTAGATAAATATGGATATTAATAATTATTGAAATCATGAATGTGTTGCTTGTGTGAGTCCATTTCAAATAGGTAAAGAAATAATAAATAAGACTTACTCACAATCAATTTAATTTAACTATTCAGGACGACCGGTTTCGCTTTCTACAATATGCAAAGCATCTTCAGGTCTCGATACAAAGTTAAATA